TGCTGAGGTACTAGTAGGCTCGCATCTACGTGTCTGTTCGAACGCGACGCCTCGTCGAAGTCGACAGAGGTGTTTTATTGTCGTTGTTATCAGGTTGTCCTGGCGTACAGTGAGAAGCTTCCGCTGGAAAAAATAATGCTCGCTAGCAAGTACCAGGGTTGTAGTTGGGAGGCTACTCGGCGTACATGTGTGGGCAGATGGGGAGTAGAGGGTCGGCGCTCGACATTCTTTTTGTTAAGCTCAGCTTGTTTTGTTTATCGTTCCATACAGGGACACTTGGCAACAAGCAAGAGGGACACAAAAAAAATTGGCGAGAAACGCTGCGGCAGTGCCCCTGCGATATGCGACGTCTAGTTGCGGCGTGAAGCCGAAAAAAATGAATCCGCTGCCCGTCACCGCCGCAAATGTGGAAGACAAGCCACGCGTAGGGCCCGCGACATTCGATGCTGTTCCTCTGACATGTATCCTAAGGAAACACGGCTGCCCATATCAGCCACACAAAGACCCGACTGTCCCTTCCTCGGATGCTGGCTTCGTCGCAGGCCAAGCTCGATAGCTGCGAATGTATATGTTTTTTTTTTCAAGCACTCTTATGTTGTCGTCTCCGCTCCCCCGCAAAAAAAGACTTAGCTCGACCTGTCACCAGCGTCCGAGGGTTGCGGTGGGTGCTGGCCATTTCTTCCGTAACCATGCAAAAAATGTGCACGTAGACCCATGCGTAAAGAAAAAAAATAATGCACACATAGACTCGTGTGGAAGACACGCAAAAGGCGGTCTGTGTTCCTGTTCCCTCGCTTGTGCGGACGTTTCCTTGCACCCCCGTCCGAACAGTTCCGAGAGCAAAAACATACTGAAAACATACTGAAACAATTAAGTCGAGCGTCTATCGGGATACATTTTTCAAGGCACCACCCCCCCCCATGACGACACGTGCAACGGTGCATAAAGAACAAGGGACAAATGAGTTCGCCAAACATCGAACCCTCCGGTGGATTCCCTCTGCACTTTACCCGCGCCTCCCCCGAAATCACCGCCACCCCGCTTGGCAGTTCCAATAAAATCATCGTAAGACACCCATGACATAACAAAGCGATTCGATGGCACCCAGGACATGCAAACACGACACGTTGCGGACACCACACACAAGGACAATGTCACTCACCCTCCTACGTCAATTGTTGACAACGCCCCACCCCGACAACAGTTTCCATCGCCAGCCAGCCGTTGCCCTCTAGTCGCGTCCGGCGGCCCACGCACCCACGCACCCACAAACCCCCACACAGCCCCCGCGATCGACGAAAGGCTTCTCCCAACCAGGCTCAAGGCTCGCTCCCATCGTCGCTACTACTAGTCGAGTGTGCTGATTCCCTGCTCTCGGGAACCTCGCTGTCATCACTGGACCCCACATACGCGTCCGCAAATTTGGCAGGTCTCCTGGACTGTCTCTGCTGCCGTCGACCACGTGTTGCGCTTGACGGCCCTGGTGCCGCTGTCTTCTTCGGCGGCGCAGACTGTCTCTGCCGCCGTCTACCACGTGTTGTACTTGACGGCCCTGGCGCCGCCGCCTTCGTCGGCGGCGCGGTGGCCTTTCCGGCCGCGTCTCCTGCCGACCCGGGGGTAGGTGGGACGACGCCCGTCACCGCCGGAGACCCCGTTCGCGAAGGTGGTGTGGACAAGAGAGTCTCTGGTCTGCCGGCGGCAACCCGCAACCTCTGTTCCTTTGCGCACCTGGTCTTCGCTGCCCTTGAGTGCTGTCTTTGCGCGAGCCAGAAAGCGGGGACGCCGAATTTTCCGCACTCCTTGCATGCCCCCGACGTTCTTTTCCTCTTGGCGGGTGCGACCATCCCCTCGTTGAGGTTGCGTGAGGCGTTGCTACCTCCCCGGTCGTACGATAACAGCCCGTTGGCGCCGGCATCGCCTCCTTTTGCCCTTGCCCGTTTCTTCCCGGTTCACCGCCCGCCATCACCGGAGGCGGGAGCTCCCCCCCTCTCTCCCCCCTCCTGTTCTCCGTCCCCTACATCCTCACCCACGGATTTGTAGAGTTCCGCCTGGCTTTTTTCGTTGGCGGCCTTAAGCTCCGCGCCGTGTTTTGTTTGGACAAGGGACCGTCTATGCTTCCTCTTGAGTTTGCTGTCGCTACCCACCCTCACGGCGGCGCTGCTCCACACTTCGTGGCCCGCCTCAAGGTGCCTTGCCTTCCTCTGGTGGACGAGTGTCTCCTCTTCCGCCCGATTGGTTAGCGGCGGTAGTCCACACGCCTTGCGAATTCGCCTAACAACCTCGCGGTACCCTCCGGGGAAGCACCGCTTTAGGAGAGCAAGTTGGGCTCTGCCCACGTGACTGATGTAGAAGTCGCTGCGCTTGGACACCATGGCCGCGACACTCCCATTGAAGCTCTCGAGTGCGTTGGTCCCGATGACGAGGCAGAATGAGAAGGCCCGGAGGCAGGCGGTATTAACCAGGACCTGTTCTGCGCAAGCGGGGCACTTGCGTTTGGTGGACATGTTCACCCCAGCCTCGTTGGCGCACGGTGAGAAAAACGTCCATGGCCCACTCTCTCGCCATGCCATGTGCCTCAAAGTGCCCCTGACAGCCGCGCGACAACATGGGCGGGCAGCAAACACACTTAAGTGCGACACAAGCGGAAAAATTAAAGCGGACGGGTGGTCCCAATAGAGCGACCGCACCCTCCTGCGTTGCTGCACAGCGCCGTGTCGCACCCGTACTTCTTTGATCCTGGCCTGCGTATATATTAAGGTATACCAATAGGTGACACTCTCTCGTGTCGAGTACACCATTTAACTGGTTCTTGTGTGGCGTGAAAAAAACTCACGTGTTGTCTTGCCCGAGATGCGAAGATACCACCATGATGCGCACGCCGGTCATGACGAAGACTGCTGCTTCTTCCTTCGCTACTTGAACGACTGCCTCCACGTATCGCACCATTAACGCCTACAGAAACATAATCGGCCACGGGGTTGTCGGTGACGACAGATATTCCGCGTACAATTGTATAGGCTACCGGACATGGGCACTGTAAAAATTATGAAGCATACACCTTAAACGTAACATGCCTATCAGAAGCGACCATGCGGGCAGGCACATGACATTGAAACCCATGTGCGTGCTCGGGACGCAGCCAGTACGTCGCCCCTCTGCACCTATTGTCCTGCATGTGTCCACACCGGAGTCTCACCTTGATACGTGTGGTGAGAACAAGAGCAGCGGGCGCATGCACCATTTCTTCTCGCTTGCACCCGGGCTCAGATATGAAGATGTAACCAAGCTCCTCCGGCAATCGCAAGCTGGGAGTTGGAATGCTCTGCTTCTGGCGCTGTACCTTGCTCTTGATTTTCTGACAGTCAACCATTCAACGAGGATGAGACGGCAAAGTTTGTCAGAAATTCTGATCAGCCTGAACGACGCGGTTGGCGGCCCAAAAAGAAGATTTGCGATGCACACAACAGGTCATCTTACCGTCAATTCAAGAACCCCGTCATCCACTGCCTCGAGCGTGTCGTCGACGACCTGCCGGCCCTCGAGACATACGGTCTCGACAAGGCGAATCGCCTCCAGCAGCCGACCGAACGCCACCGAAACCCCAGCCTCTGGCGAATCCCCAGCCGCCGGGGAAGCCCCAGCCGCTGCCGAAGCCCCAGCCCCTGCCAAAGCCCCAGCCTCTGCCGAAGCCCAAGACTCTGCTGGTCCCCGGTCGAAAGCATCATTCCTGGCCTGCCTAGTTTGCTGGAAGGCGTGGTGGAACGTCTCCTTCTTCCTGACATACAGCACCTTGCAAACTTCTAGTGTCTTCAAGAGACTGGGTACGGTCTGCGCCGACTTGACGCAGTCTCCGAGGGTAACCTTGGGGGCACCCTTGCTTGATACCCCGGCTACCCCCCCACCCTGCGGACTCTCGTCGAGTGTCACATCACCTTTTACACCTGCCCCCCCTGACTCTACTAAGCCGGCGTGCAGGGCGTCGTCATCGTCGGACTCCTCGCTGCTTCCCTCCCCCGCCTCATCGCGACCGGCCCTCTCCTCGCCCTGTTCACCCCCAATCTCCCTCTCGTTGTCGCCCGCTCCACCCCCTCCAGCCCCCGTGGCCTCCTCGAAGAAGTCAACCCCTTCGGAAGGGGTGTTCAAAAGCATCTCGCCATCGGGGTCGTCCCGGGGCATCACGTACTTGTCGGAGCCGAGGCACTCCTCCGAGACGAAGTCACGATTACCTGTAGCATGTCAGTGGAGGAAATTACATCACCAAGTGATACGCTTAATCGACAGAGGAGATACAGGTATTACTCTCCTCCCCACCAACGAAACTCGAGGCAACACAAGGTGACCCACGGGCGACCCTATCGCTGACCTTGCAGGTGGAACGGAAGGTGGCAGAAAAACTCAATGAAGGTCTCCGCCCACAGCCACGCGTCCCTGTCGCCCCCTGCATCCAGCCACTTCTGACGGGCACGCACGACAGCGTTGGCGAAGATCGCACCGCTCGGTCACCGTTTCCCTTCGCCAACTTGTCGATGTTCTTCTTCAAGTTTTTCTGCCTGGAGAACACCAGCCAAAGCAGCAACAACGGGGGTGGGTGGGGGGGGCGCCAGCATACAGGTTCAAAAGATTAGTCGTCGCCCGGTCAAGCGAGGGGGGTAAATCTGGGGAAGGGGGGGGGGGAGCAAGAAGACAACACGACAAAAAAATATTTGAAACATATATAGGCTTGGCTCAAAACGCACCGCGATGTGGCCGCGATCGAAGCACTCTTTGCATTTGTTGTAGGACTTCTTGAAGATGCTGCCGATGTGGGCGTCCTGGTCGTGTGAGATCCGCTCGACCCAAAACCCCTCCAACAGCGTGACCAAGCAGGATATTTTCGCCCCGATGCCTTACGCTGTCTGCGCCGCAAGCGGAAACCTGATGGCCCCGCTGCTGTAGTAGTTAAGCCTTAGCGCCTCCTCCTTCACGGTGCCTCCTTTCGCCACCTTTGCTTTCCGCTCGTTCTCTGTCCCGTGAAGAAAGCACCGCTCCCCGTCGCGGGCGAGTGCGCAGTGCAGGCCAAGGTGCACCTTCTCGCTGCAGCGGCGGCATATGCTGACCAGGTTCTGCACCACCGTCCTTCGACCGTTCTCGTTTAAATCCTTCAACTCGACGGACTGTATGACGCTGGCCCCCTGCGCTGCCCGCGATCTGTGTCGAAAGTCAGCGTCGAGAGATACCTGTTGGGGCGGGAGTGGTGGGTAGTGCATACATTGCCAGGTGTGTTCCCGGCCTGTTATTTTCTTCTGGCATGAAGTATTGTCTGGCTATTTGTGCATTCTTTTGAAAAATTTCAGCGCGTTTTCAATGTCTTTCACCATAGTAGGCAACGAAGCAACTACAGCAGTATTTACAGCAGTATAGTCGTCGGCGTCAGCAACAACTACATAAGTTACCGGTAGACGCCAAAAGCAGGTTGACCCGCTCTTGGGGTTGGATACCTAATGGCATTTTACCTAAAACGATGGCGCGATCGTCCGTGGACGTTATGAGGTGTTGA